AGAGAGATGTGTGTAGCAAAGAGTGAAACAAAGAGGGTTTTTATGTATTATCAAACGTGTAATACATCCGCAGACCAAGACTCTAAATTCACATCGATATTCTGGCAGGCATTTCAGAAAGCATTGGAAACAAAAGTACGCCTCAGTATGGCCTATCATCCGCAGACCGATGGATAGTCAGAAAGAACGATTCAGACATTAGAGGATATGTTAAAAACCTGTGTTCTAGACTGGGAAGGAAAGTGGGGAACATATCTACCATTTAGATGAGTTCGCTTACAATAACAATTACCATTCGAGCATTGAAATGTCTCCTTACGAGGCTCTGTATGGGAGGCCGTGTCGTACACCTCTTTGTTGGACGGAAGTGGGGGAGTGCCGAGACTTAGAACCGGAAATGGTTCGAGAGACAGTCGAGCAAGTGGAATTGCTCTAGAATAGACTTAAAGAGGTGTACAACCGTCAGAAAAGTTATGCAGATAAGCGTAGAATAGATCTAGAGTTTGCAGTGGGCGATGAAGTGTATTTGGAAATGAGAACGTTTAGAGGAACTGATAAGACTCGAAAGTTGAAAAAGCTTAAGCCAAGATATATGGGACCGTATGTTATAACGGAAAGAATTGGTGCAGTGGCTTATCGGTTAGAGTTACCGCAGGAGTTGTCAGATTTCCATAACGTGTTTCATGTTTCGGTACTGAGAAAAGTTGTCAGAGAACCGGAGTTAATTCTTCCGCATCCACCTACAGATTTGACTGGTAGTTTTTCTGTACAAAGCAGCCCGATTGAAATTTTAGATCGACAAGAAACCCAGGTTCAAGGTAAAACAGTTAAGTCAGTGAAAGTCTATTGGGAAAGAGATGGTATTTGTGAGAAGATGTGGGAGTCAGAATTAGAAATGCTAGTTAACTATCCCGAGCTCTTTAAGGACAAGAGCGGACTTACGGGAAATAGATCGAATTCATAGACGAATTTTTCTAAAGCAGGGGAGAATTGTAACGACCCAAAACTCAATAAATTGGGAAAGGCCCAACGAAATCCCCAAGCCCAAGACAACCCAAACCTAAACCCACCCCTAAGCGTGCCTTCTTCATCTTCTTCGTTAAAAAGCTGCCACAAAACCTTGGTCGAGCCGCACACACCCTCGTCGTCAGCGAAGCTCTGCCCGAATCAAGAGAGCGCCGCCGTCACTGTTTCCGACCAAGCCAGAGCCGCCTCCGTGATTTCGTTGACGTGAGGAGAAGCCGCCGTGAATCGACTCCAAGCCGTCGTCTTCTCGATCATGCTGCCGCCGTTCACCGTCGTCGCCGATCTACTGCTCCGAGTCACCACCATCGTCTGTGAATCACATCTGGGTAAGCACGAATCATTTGCCTTACCTTCGTCATCTTTGTTCAGTTTTCCCGAGAGTGCATATAACGTAGACCCGCTATTGTTGTTGTAGCTTCAGCCGCAAGCTTCCTCCTCACCTTTTGGTTGTTGCTGGTGTTCATAGTCATTGCCGTGAGACACTTGTGGTAAGCAATCCGAGTTCATTCATCATCCGTTCATCAGTTCCGAGAGTTAACGTAATATGCATACCATTGTTTCCTATGTTGCTTCAGCCGCAAGCTTGCTCTCCTCCGTTTGTTGTTTACGTTTGGTGTGTGGTGTTTAACATTCATTTGGTAAGCATGATTCCTTCTGTTGTTGTCACGTTAACCATATTACGTGAATGCTTAAACGTAACATGTGGGTTGTTGTCTCCAATGGTTGCTTCAGGCCCAAGTAAGCGTTGTTAAGTTGAGATCACCCTTTTACCGTGTGCCTTTTCTCTTCCGTTCATCCGAAAGGTGAGGGCGGGATCCGTGGATTCTTAAATCTTCTAGTTAATTAGTATTCGTAAATGCTAGGTTTAGAAAATTGTTTGTTGATTGTGGTGGTTGAGAAAATAAGGTTAAGTGATTATTATGAATTTAGATGATGGAATGTTAAGTTGATATGATGTGTTGGTAGATAGTATATGTTATATTTTGGCGAAGTAGGACTAAGAGCAAGGACATAGTGATCCTGTTAAAGCCCGTTAACCGGCTGACGAGCCAAAGGGTGGTGGAAGACTTTTCGAGGTGCCCGATCAGCCCAGTATCATGATAAATTATATTGAGTTATTGGTGGTGGAAGACCTTTCGAGGTGTCCGACGGTCGGGTTGTCTTGTGATTTGTATTGAGTTGTGATGTGATTAGTTTATTGTTGATTAGTTGTGATAGAAATTGTTTGTTGATTGTTGTCTGTTCTAGAGTTAGTATTTGTGTGTGCTGTTAAATAGTAGTGTTGGGAATCATGTGGGCGGACATGACCAACCTTACTGAGTAATGTTCGGGTGCTATATTTTGAGGGTTTTATGCTTAATTTGGAATTTCGTTTAAGACAAATTGGATATTTTATTTAAATTTATTTAAAGTAAAACGTGATTTCTGGTTAAGACGGTTTATACCGGTTTATTTTAGATGGATAAATTTTAGATATTATTATTTATTATTAGTATTTATTATTTATTTTATTTTAAAAGTATGGTTATTACAATATAGATAATGATTATTTTGATTGGTAGACAAATATCAGACGTTTCCCCAAACTGGCCAAGGCAGGCGTTATTATATAGACAAACCCAAACCGTAACTGAGATACTAAATCAAGATTAAGAGATAAACCGAGCGGGATTCTTATCACAAATCACATTGAAATAAATTTGTAAAGCAGAAGCAATTTCAAGGGAAGCAGTGATTAAAAATTGATGAGTTCACACTTGAAATTTCACAGCAAAGAGATCAAACCTTCTCTGCAAGCTTCATCCTCGGCTTCAACACCGTTGCCAAGATATAATTAGGACTGACAAAGTATTTGTAATAATCCCTTCGTTATGATTAAGAAAAAAGTTCAGATCATTTCATGTTTTGCGAATCAAAACCAATACTAATTCAATATTAGTTAGAAGCACAATAGAATTATAAGGTAAATTTCGGAATATCCGTTCACATCCAAAAATTACAAACAACTTAGGACTACGTCAACCCCAAGAAATACAAGTCTTATGGGCTACGTAAGAAATCGAGTCGGCCCAAAATCAGTAACTTTTGATCCAGTATTTAAGTTTGTACTTAAGTCTGTACTTCAGTGCAGTCCGAGTGCAGTCGGATTGAGAATAACGACATGGCGATCCTATTAAAGCCCGTTAACCGACTAACGAGCCAAAGGGTGGTGAAAAACTTTTCAAGGTGCCCGACCAGCCCAGTATCATGATAAATTATATTGAGTTATTGGTGATGATATCTCCTCCACTTAAGTCTGTACTTCAGTACAGTCAGACTGAGAACGAGGACATAGCGATCCCATTAAAACCCGTTAATCGGCTGACGAGCCAAAGGATAGTGAAAAACCTTTCGAGATGCCCGACCATAATATATATATCATCAGTCGTAGTATGATCCAAGTGAACCGCTTCATACAAGCTCAACAGACCCTTACATCACCACCGGTAAGACTTTTCGTTGAACTTCCCATCGTCTTCTTTGAATCTTTTGAACACATCTGCTTTTCAGTTTGTCGAAAGTGTGAGAGAGGTTTGAACCACTCCATGCCATCATTAGCTATATAAGTGTGATGGAGATGAAACTAATTATAGTAACACTTCTGGCTAATAGGCTAATTGATTTTGCAACTTTATGTGACAATGACCATTTTTAAAATTGTAGTGAACAGTACTAATAAGACATAAATTTATGTGGATATAATTAAATTACAAAATTTTCCAGAAAAGCGTTAATTATTTCTTTAAAACATAGCAAAAGGTCTTTAGTAAAATTAGGAAAAATCGACGAGAACGGTTAAAAATTGGTAGGTTTCGTAGTCGTCTGAAATTGTGCTAAAAAATAAGATGGGTTCGAAATTGACAGGTGGAAATAGCATCTGAAACAGAAGCTAACAAGTAGACGCCATTTTTGTCGAACCACGTATCATTTTTTCTATCTCAATTATTTTACTAGAAAATTAATGAAAGTCGCGGACACTGTACGTAATAAGTTTCTTAATGAAGTACTGTACCAAGTCTCTGTGTCTGTTTATGTTAGTTAATTTTCTTCTAGTTACTTTAAAATGCAAAATCTTTTATCCACACAACACACCAAAACACATGGTATCTACACGCCACCACCATTATTATCTCTCTCGTTTACGTATTTAAAGTTTACAGTCTACCTAACGTTTTCTATATATATATTTTAATTAAAGTATTTAAGTATAGCTTATTGCCCCCAGAGAATATATATATTAAAACCACACTCTTGTAGAATATCATCGGTTAGATATTTTTTTCTCTATATTTTGGAGTGTCTTTGTCCTTAATAATTCATTGCGGGTCATGTGATGCAATATTTATTACCCTAACGCCATCTTTTATTTATTTTTTAGCTTGTGACTTTTGGCTTTATTCTTGGCTTGGGCCCCGTTTCTTTTATTTTGAATTTTTCCTTTGGAATCTTTTTCATGAGTCATTTACTACCAAAAAAAAACTTTGGTGAGATCAGTAAAGTAGATCGATATCATCATACACACCACTGTTATATCATCAATCATTTTAATGTATATCATTCCATGAAACTAAATCAAAGGTACGATTCCACCATATACTTATCATTACATCATCATACTACACGATGCCCAAACACCAATCCATCATATCATACATCCATTCCATCATCAACCCCACCACAAACCCAAGATTAACAAAGAAACAACATTTAGATTAATTAACTTAAAAGACCACTCCCATCATAATTAAAGCACTAAGGCTAAAACAACAACACACGAAAAGAAAAGTGGATGTGGCCACCACCATGATGCATATTTCATCATCATCACCCTTCATTTCATTTTTACTTCTTAAAACATTTTTTATTCATTGTGGCTCAATGCCAAGTAAGTACAGAGAGAACCCAAACACAAAGAGGGCTCTCTCTTTCCAACTTCAATGAATCTTGTTGGCGAGATTGCATTGCTTCCTGATCTCACCCTTGGAACCAGTCAAAGGGTTGTTCTCGGACAAGATCTGGATCGCTCTAGTGAACTCCTTGAAGAAGTAGGCCTGGTCCTTAGCCATCTTTTTAACAATTGGTCTGGTACGTTTGTCGTGTGCTAGCTGGTGGTCCACAAGGAGCAAACCCTTGTTGTCTAGGATGTTACGGTAGTAGTTGTTGTCTAGCACCATGGGCGTACCACGGTCATTACGCACGTACTGGACCGCCTTGGGGTCAGGGATCGAATCAGGACACTTGTGCAGCATGTGAGGAACGTGGTCCGGGTTCAAGGACGGGTCCACCTCAGGGTACAAACGGTGCACCAGCTTCACACAGTGAGTTCTTCCCACGCTGTGTGACCCTGCACACGTGTGATATCAAAAAGTCAAAATCTTACAACATCCGACTTTTAATTATAGACCTAAAATTTACATAGCATATACTCTGATCCGATTAAATGAGCTCAACTGGTTTGATTACTATTCTTAATCATGCATGAGTGAATTGACCCAAAAGAACAACATGCATGAGTGATTGAAGTGGGGGCATGAGCAGAGTAATATAATCTGTTTGGATGGTAATTAGATTTTGACTTTTGAATGATCCCATTTATGCCGGGGAGTAGCGAATATATCGGTGTCAACTTTCCTAGTCAGATCGCATACTCCGATGAGATCCGACAAGACTTAGCACAAGTGGTTTCATTAATCTTACTAAAAGTGTTACATGCATGAGTAAATTGACGAAAATACCCTTGAAATGGTCTAGACTTTAGAGTTTCGAAATTCGAGCGATACGTTTTTGCCCGGAGATATAATCAAGAAGGAGAAAAGTAACGGTACCGAGGAGGGCGACGAGGCCGGGAGTGTCGATTCCGATGGATTTGAACTTTTCAAGAACAACGGAGATACTCTCGTTGTGGTCGGGAAGATACGACTCAAGCATATCAGTCCTGCTTTTTAGTCCATCTCTCCTCCCTGTCTTTAACGGAATATGCGGTCCTCCCACCTACACAAAACCACACACACACACACATATTTTACAAAAAACATTCCTAAAGAATGAAAAAGACAACACGCAGTTTCATAATCAGAGAGAGAAACGGCGGGAGTTGTTTAAACTTACTGCTTCGATGCCTTCTCTTGCGGACAAGACGAGAATGTCAGAACATGAGACAACACCAGGACACTCCCTTTCGAGAGCTTCCTTGATCTCCTCGATGTACCTGAAGTTTCTCAGACCGAAACTCCTGTCGTGTTCTTTCTCTCCTAGCTCTCTTCTTGTCGAATCCAGCAAAAGCGACGCATCGCATGACTGTGTTTTCACCCCAAAACAAAAACAGAGAAAAACGTTAACTATGTTTTACACAAAGATCGGTACTTTTCCACTAAAATCATCCAAGAAATCGCAACCCACCATGCAAAACATGAAAGATCATTGAGAGAGAGAGAGAGAGAGAGTTAGGACCTCGACGGCGCAGTCATGGAAGATGTTACGGAGCCAAGAGAAAGCGGTGTTCTTGTGGCGTTTGTAGAGGAGTTTGACTTGTTCACGGATGATATCTTCGGCTTGAGGACACGTGTCCTGGTAGAAGTTCATCATCAAGCCTGGCTCCTCCTCTGTTACAACTGCTTCTGATGTCGCTGAGAGTGCCCAAAGGCAGATTATCGCCACCATCATCATACCTTTCCCTCCCATATTTTTCTTCTTCTTACTCTCTCTCACTTCCACTCTTGAGTTGAGTCAGTGAGCAAGCAATGCAGCCTCCTTAAATAAAGGAAAATAGAGTTTTCTTCTTTATTTTTTTCAGGAAAAAAGGCTTAATTAGTTTAGGGATTAAATGATTAATAGTAAACTAAGACAAGTAGGTGAAGTTTCACGAATACATTTTCATAGATCATATACGATATAATACGAATAATAATGTATTGCGTACACTTATTATAAAATGAATAAACAACAAAAGAAAGATAAGAATTTGCATGCATTTATAGCAAACACTTAAAAGAAGAAATTAAATTGCTTTCTTGACTGACGCGAAAGTTGAATTAGAGTAGTTAATAACACAAAATTTGTTAAGTAATATTTTATGTACAAACGCTCATATTAATTGTTGTCTTCAAACTTCTTTTCAGAAAAGTATAAATCTATGTGTTTAATGCTAAAATTTTAAAAACTTGTTACTGTTACTAATGCTAGTTGACTAGTTTGTTGGAGTCTTGGAGATTTTAAAATGAAAGGTATTTTAGATAATTTATGTGATTTTGAAGGACGTCTGGTTATCTCATATAAGCCTAAACCAATCACCAAGTTTTGGATTTTGGTCTCACTGAGTACATCCGTGGACCCTCTGACTAAAGAATCTTTACAGAAAATATTGCTTCTTTTGTTAATAAAAAAGGGGGCGGCTGTAACAAATATAATATATGAGGTGTAATAACTAAAGTAGAAAAACGTTCACGGACCGATTTGAAATTATCTGAAATTATCTGAAACCTTTTTGGATATACAGCACAGCGGAATAGCGGATAGACCGCTCCTTTAATGCATTACGGAATCTTTCAATTCGATGATGTCAAGGTGAATTCTTATTTTTCTCACAAGCTGAGTCCGATTCTTTAAGCTAAAGTAATGCCATTTGTACATATTCAATTATTATTTTCTGCAATTATTTAGTAAGTATACAACTATTTACTTATAGTAGTAATTGTCAGTAAAGAGTTATTGATTGCATCTTGATCCTCGCGATGAGCTATTAAAAACAAGGTTTAAAGCTTTTCACTCTCGGGCTGTTCCCTTTAATTTATCAGCTTTTGGGTTAAATTTGATCTATGTTACTAGTTTATAGTAGTACATTTAGAATAGTATTGCGTAACATAACTCTAATTAAATTCAAAGGAAACGTTCACAATTAAACTAAAAATATTTTACCCGGCATTAGGCAAATAGATAGTATTATAAATTTATTAAGAAAATAACACTCACTATTGCTTTGATGATAACCGGTGTCTGGCAAAAAGCTGAAGAACCCTTCTATATATTCGGTGTGATATATATTTCTCTTTTATAAGAGAAAAAGAAAAATACAGAGAATATAACTGATTCACTAATTTGGGAAATATAAGAAGGGTTGAAAATAGTAACGGCGCCATAAAATGATAGGACAGTACACACCTAAATTAAGAAATTTATAGAAAAATTATGTTTTTACTCTGGGAGAAGTACCGGTGCTTTTACCAATATCACATTGAATCCGTAGAGTCAGAAAATTCACGTAAATTTGTTTTGAATATTTTTTTATTGAAAATGAAAGAATGAAAGTATTGTGTGACCACCGACACTTTGTTCCCTTATCCAAGTGTCGCCAAATGCTACTGTAGGGACCACTCCTGTAATGTCTCTCTCTTGTGAGATCCACAAATGTACTAATCACTGATTAACAGGTTCTAACTAACATATAATTGACGAGTAACTGTTCAAGATGTAAACAGAGCAGTGTGATAACCGGTATGATTATATTACCGCGGTTAACTTAGTGAATCCAACTTCAGTGTATGGAGCTGACACGTGGAAACTGTCACACCCGTGCCGTTGACGTTACATCAACCATGGGGGCCTGCACGATTCAATACCAAGACAAAAGACGTTAATATTCTCTCACCAGATTTTTAAGAGCAAATTTCCAGATCAAATTATGAGTTTCCAGAAATAGTGAAATATATGGACCCTAACAATGATGCCAGTCTTTTAAACTTCATCCTTCTAAGGCTGATTTGGAAACTTCTTTGAAACTCCGGGAGATACATTTGGTTTAGTTTAGTTTTGTAGAACCGTTCAAAATAATTTTTCTTGTGGTTTAAATATCTTAAATATTAGCCAAAAAAGTAATGTAAAAGCTAATAATTTTTTCTTGCAACAACTAAAACTAGTTTTGGGATATGACTTCATACACTCACAGGAGACATGAGCTAGAGTAGGTTCCGTTCACTAGATTCACAGCGCCATTATTAGTTAGTTGTATATCAATTCACCAAAAACCCGAAATTAATTGTCTGGCTGAGATTTACCACTATGATTCTGAATATAACCTAAACTGATATTCACCTTTACCTCATTTCACATTGATTAGATCAAAGTTCTAAGCATCTCTCAAATTATTTGAGAGATCCTTTTGTATCAAATGAATGATACCTAAACTGATATTCAACCTTGACCTCATTTCACATTGATTAGATGAAGTTCTACGCTATTATATTTAAGAGATCATTTTTTACCAAAAAAAACAAAAAATGCAATACACCAACCATTGTGGCCAAGTTGCGGTGAGAGAGACTCCTTAACTGCGGTAACTTAGAAGTTACCACACGAAAGATTCGAGCAACATAGATAGATTCGTCTCATTGAACATGTCTACCAAAAACCCACAAAGCGACTAAACTACGACAATTTATCTATTGTACAAGCTGAACCACCCCAAAGGTGGAAATATTTCTACACACCAAACAATGGATAATATTGAGTATAGCACAAGATCCTAGTCGCGTATTCATAAGTTTTTCTCCCAGAGTCAAAATACAATTATTTTATAGTATATTGAAAATGAGAGCTCACATAAGTTCATGGTTTCTCAAACTATGTAAAGTTCATTTAAATTTTTGCCTAAGTATGTGTGATAAGTGTGTTTACGGAGACATCGTATCCTAGAAACAAGAAGGCTTTGAAATGTGCAAAAACAAAAAGAACTACGGGCCTTGTATGCTCAATTAAGCCCATCATAATAATCAAGTAAGCCCATGTTCTTGATGTAACAGACTCCGATACTTTTTTGTGTTGCAAAGTTTCTCTTTATCCGATCCCGTGAATCACACGTTACTTCCTCTCCCATCCAAAAGGAAAAGATCTGTGAAAATCAATGGAAATTGTGGAAGACGAATTGTTTATGTTAACGACTAAAGAAGGGACATTAACACTTGAATGGGAAACGGTTCGGACACAATCAGCTTATTTCTCGCCAATTTAGCAGTTTGAGCAAGACCCTCTTCATTTTCTTGATGCTCTATTGCCTTTAGTCATCAGGTTTGCAATAGGCAAGCGACAAAGCTAATATTCTTGTTATTGAAGGATTCAAGCGTCAAGCTAAAACATTTGGTAACACGACCAAGCCTCAAAAAACTTTTAATAGAACTATTCTAAGTGATCTTTGCACACTACACTCAATCATAAGGACACACTAAGGCAAATGATAGAACCAAATTTGATTCCAATACACCTATATACGTGTGTTCAATTTTCATGAGTAAACTCGACTTGCTTAAAGACTATAGAACTAAACAGTTTCTCTCTCAACATCTTCGGCTAGCCCTAGTCCCTCTAGCACACATCTTCTCTGTATGTATATATATTATAGATAGATCTATACAATCACAATGTATCGTTCTCCTTTAATATACGTACAAATAATAATCAATTTTTCTCAAAATATTTACAACTCCACTTTTTTGCTTATGTAAATCTTTTTATATATTATTTATATTTAACTCAGCTCGTTATAATATTTATAATTCCCCCGATGTGTTTTTTTTTTTTTTGGGTTTGATAAGGAGAATTTAAAAAATATACATAAATCGGTCGGTTTTTCAAATGAAAAGCCCATAACATAATGTCATATATCCCTAACTAGATTGAAACACACCCATAAAGAAAAACCCAAATTGATGGAATCATTAAAATCATGTCGCCAATGTAAATAATTGGATTGAAGAACTAGAAGGATTAGAGTGTAGAACCATCGTCACATGCAGTCGATCGAGAAAGAGATTCAAAAATTGTTGTTGGTCAAGATCGAGAAATAGATTCAGCCAATGTATTAACATATCTTAGTTCTCCAAACAACTTTTATTTTCCTTCTTTTAATTGAGTTTTACAACTCAAATCATAAGCTGAAACTCACCGTCTACAACATTAATATACAACCAAATGATTAATTCCGCATATACTTTATTAATTTGGACCAATAGTTTGGAGGTTCGTGGTACTTTAGGATACGTATCTGTGTTATATAAACTTTAAAGGGTTAAATAAGAAACTTTTGATAAAAAGAGGTCTTATATGAAAATTACACTTTCTAAGACATCGTGCAGTGGAATAACATCCCTTGCGAGGAGACCCACGTAGCGTTGGATTGGATAGCCTAACAAATTGATTTTCAAAAACTATTATATGAATCGATTTGATTCTTACCCCACCAAAAAGTCTGATGTATTTATGTGTGTACGGACACGGGATTCAGATTTTTCGTGTGATAAATACAAAGTTATTTTTATTATATAACGAAACTATAATATTTTTGTGGAACACCTTTTCAATAATAATACGTACATAGCTACAGAAAAACAAAGAATCATATAATCAGATAACCTTTGTTTTTTAAAAAAAATGATTAAACAAGATTCTTAAGAAGGATATATAATAATAATATCACAATCCATTTTGAGTTAGTTTACATTTTTCCTTCTGATTTATTAAAAAGATCTATATGGCCAAAATAAGATTAGAAAGTATAATATGGTTTAGGAAATTAAAGTTTGAGATAAAGCGAGTCTTTTCATATAGTACATTTTGTTTTGTCTTCTTGCATGAATCAGACTCTATCAATAATTTTGGCAGGTCTTAGTAGAAATAGTACCAAAGGCTACCACTCCTCTATGTAACCCCTTTAATTATTTTATTTATTTTTATTAAATTCATAGTTATGGCACCCCAAAAAAAGTACGAAATTATTACAGTTTTGGATCTTTATGAAACCTCTGCCTATTGTGGAGGCTTTTGATTCCCTTAAGGCAATCAATGACCTCTCTGTCTCTCATTTGCCAGCAAAGAGAGATTGTTTAATGTTGTTTATGGTTCACATTTTTATACATCACATTTTCACTGAATCTTCCTCTGCGTCTCTCAGGTAATTAATTCTCTCTCTCTATCTCTCTCTCTACTTTTTCTCTCTCTATCTCTTCTCTTTTGGTTTTAAGATAAAATGATGAGAGTGATTTTCATGGATTCAGGAGGAAGAAGACCACTTAGTTGATGCAGAAGAAGCAATATCTAGGAGAAGGGTTTCTCTTGAGTGGCAATGGAAGGGGGAGAGGAGTTTCAAGAAGAAGATGTGTGGTCAGTTTTGAGAGAAAAAGAATCTCCAGGTCCTGAGATGAAAGTCTCCAAAAGTAACAATCTCTTCTCGGAGTCTTCTTCATCTTCTGCGAGGTACATTCCTAAGGGCAAGGAAGTCTTAGGGGCAAAACAGTCATCTGCTCCAATGAATGTTCCTGACTGGTCCAAGATTTATGGGAACACGAAGAAGAACTCAAGAAGCAGCCATATGCATTCATCGGCCATTCATGACGATGACGACGATGAAGACTCAATGGTTCCTCCACATGAATTGGTAGCAAAAAGGCTCGCAAGAACACAGATCTCATCTTTCTCCATGTGTGAAGGAATAGGAAGAACACTCAAAGGAAGGGATCTCAGCAAAACGAGGAATGCTATCTTAACCAAAACAGGTTTCTTGGAATCGAACATCACATCAACATCACCACCACCATAGTTATGTCATGGTATGGAGCAAGATCAATATCACACAAAACCCTTTAGTTACTACTACCACCATACCATATCATTATCATGAATTAAAACCTAAACTTTATGGTATCCTCATAATTTTATTTAAATATCCAATGTTATTGTCGTTATCATCATGTAGGGAATCATGACACTACCAATATGGTTGAGTTCTCTTTCTTTTTTGTTGTTGTTAGGTTTTTGGATCTTTTAGATAAGTATGATGACGATGAGGATGACTTGTCAAGCCCATGCATGGGACCCATATCATTTTCCTTATGTTGTTTTTAATGTGTAGTTCGCAAAGGTGTCTTTAACTCTTTTACTAATGAGCTTAAGATTTTTATAATTTTGAAGAAAAAATGGCATATCCTTTGGTTTGGAACCTTTGATTTAAAAAATTGAGAGCCTCTCTCGATCTCTTCGCCATTTTTGGCCTTGATCAAGAGTGGAAATGGTGCGGATGATATTAACATTTTTGGTCCGACAGAAGATTAAGGGTTTGTGCCATATTGCTCATTAGCTTTCACTTTTCAATGTTGTTGAGGTCCTAGCATCTAGAGATGAGATGGTGTTGCTAGGGGATGGGTATCTCCGTATCTCTTATCTATTTCGGTTTATCGTTGCTTTTAATTAGATTCGTTTCGTTGCTAAAATCGGATTATAAAATCACACATAATAACTAAAAGAATTAATCTACTACAAAAATATATATTTCTTGCTATACTAGTAAATATGAGTTTTTTTCCCTAATGAATTTCAGTTTATTCATTTAGGTATCATAGTAGATGTAGTAAAATTTTCGTTTAGTTTGTTCAACAGATAACCGATCAGATTATAAGTCATAAGTTGGTTCAGTTTTCATCGAAATGTTCTTTAATTCGTGTTTAATTTTAGTTAGATTCTATTTTTTTTTTTTAAATCACATTTCTTTTCTCACTCAGCTTTACTAGCAAGAAAACAACTAGCAAGATTCACCATATGGCAGTATATATATAGAACGAGTGTTACCAATGGTAACTTACCATCTATAAACCTTTTGCTTTTTTTTTTTTTTTTTGCGCAAATAGTAGAGATTTAAAGTCTTAAGTAGCAAAAAATATCCGATCTTTTACACGTACATTAGTCTAGATTTCTTGCATGTACTTATCCCGGTTACAAAAGGGAAAAATGTATATATATTAACATGAAATTGATTTATTCTACAATGTTTGTTTTTTTTTCCCTCGAAAATTTAGATTTTTGTGATGATAATTGGGCCATAAGCGTACACAATGAAATTATTATAAGCTATACAATAAAACCGAATAAAGAAGGCCCATTCGAGCCCACAAAGCTCTAAATAAATCGACGGTGCTGGCGTGAGACAGGTGTAAGAGATTTCTTGTAATCCAATCAACTACTACTATTAAGCCAAGTTGGTTAACGATTCCACACAACAGTGGAAGTTACGGTTCCGTGTAGGCAACCCTTAGAAAGCCCTAAATCAAGTATTTGTTTTTAATTTTAATTTATATATACTCTTTAACCTCCTTGATATTGACTTCTCTCCCTTCTTTTCCAGTTTCCCATCAAATCGTTATTCCCCAGTTTCGACGAATCGCATTCAGTTTGTTCTTCGGGTATGTTTCTTTTGTCCTTATTTTGTTCTTCCCAATTCGAGTTTTAGGGTTCTGGGTTTTTTTCTAATCTGGCAGACGGTCGAATTTGATCACCGATCGTGCTTATAATTTCAAAATCATGATCTTTGCGTGCTTGAAATTTGCAGAGTCCGATCGAATCGCCATGGCTAAGAGTTCCTTCAAGCTTTCGAATCCTCTGGGTTAGCTCCTTAGATCCTTTCTTCTTCTTTTACTAGCTGCAAAACTTCACTGATTCTTAATTTTTTGATTACCGAATAGAAGTTTTCGATTGTCATTATGAGTATTGATTTTCTTTGCGAAAGCTTGCTCCAGATCGTTTTGGATTCTGATATTTGTCTGATTTCAGCTCTCAATCTGGATTTTCTGGGCTTTGATTCAATCTTTTCATAAGACTTTGATTCTTTCTTTGCTGTTTATTTCTCTGTTTGTGTTTATTCTTGCCTCTTAGGTTTACAAATTAAACTAACGCAAACCTAATGAATCTCTGAGAATCCTTTGAAGTTTACTTGTGATTAACCTTTTTGGTTTGATTTTGTTAATCAGAGGCAAGGATGGGTGAAGCTACTCGAATCAGAGAGAAGTACCCTGACAGAATCCCTGTATGCTCACGAATTCCTCACCTTGATTATTATTAACTCACTAAATTTAGCTAAGGAGTGTTCTAATTTAGAAACTGAAACTGTAGGTGATTGTTGAAAAGGCTGGACAAAGTGATGTTCCTGACATTGACAAGAAGAAGTGAGTATAATTGGCTTGCTTTGCTCATTCATCTCTCTGGTGTCTCCCTTTGTGTTATCATCATATCTTGAAAATTATGCTTATGTTCTTCCACTTTCTTTAGGTATCTTGTGCCAGCAGATCTAACCGTTGGGCAGTTTGTATACGTGGTTCGCAAAAGAATCAAGCTTGGAGCTGAGAAAGCCATCTTTGTCTTTGTCAAGAACACGTTGCCTCCAACTGGTAAGGAGTTTAAAGACTCTTACACCATTCAAGATCAAAGTTTCATGCTTTACCCATTAACCTGGTCTCACGTTGTCTCTTATTGTTTCAGCTGCATTGATGTCTGCAATCTATGAAGAACACAAGGATGAAGACGGGTTCCTCTACATGACCTACAGCGGAGAGAACACGTTTGGATCTTTTATCGCAGCTTGAAGATAATATCAATCTTTCGATGACTTGATGATGTACATACATAAATCAGGAAGATAAGATGTACATTCCTTCCTTCTTTTCTCTCTGGCTTTTCCTCTGCTTTGATGTTTTGAATCTTTGCCTTTTGGGTTTATTATAATCTTCAGAAACCATTATTTCTTTTGCCTTCGAATGGTATTTGAGAATTTACTCAAAGTATAGTTCTGGGGCTAATGATGCAACTTCTATATCAAAGTAATCGACGTTGGAAAACTTCTTTATATCATCACAAAAGCAAAAAGTGTACAAAAGGACAAGTTTGGTAAAAATATCAGCACAAAGGCAACTATTTTAAACACAAATACAAAAGCCAAAGCTTCAATAGAGACTCTCATGACATCTTCATCTGTTCTAGCTTCTGGAACGATGTTTGAATAGAGAATATCATGACATTTTCATCTGTTCTGCTTTGATGTTTTTAAACACTTTGCCATTTGGGTTTATAATCCCGTTCTTTTGCTTTTTGAATGGGATTGGAGAAGTTTTTGGGGCTAATGATTTCACTTACTAGATCAAAGTAATCAATGTTGAAAACTTATTCATATATCATCGCAAAAGTAAAAAAATAGAGTACAAAAGGAGAAGTTTGGTAAAAATACCAGCGCGAAGGCAACAAACCATTTTAACCACAACTATACAGAAACCAAAATTTCAATAGAGAATCTCTCATGACCCATCTTCATCTGTTCTAGCATTCTGGAACGAGACCGGATGGTTTCTGACTGACTCTCTCTCCTCGTAAAGTCGACGGATTTTTACCGCACAAGATTCAAGAAGGATGTCAAAGAATCGACATCTCTCTTCTCAGATGGATACTTGATCGGTCTTGAGGAGTTCTTGGGGAACACAAGTATTGTCGGGAAGCTTCCGAGCTGCAACTCCTTCTTAGCAAACTCCTTCTGGTCACCATCAGCTCTAAACTTAGCCACCTTCACGCCGTTTCCACCCAACTTATCCGCCAACTCATCAAACGAAGCCTCCATCGCCTGACAAAACGGGCACCACGGTGCGTAAAGCACGACGATCCAAGCCTCTTTCCTGTTCTCCAACTTCATCAAATTCTCAATCCCTTGCCTGCTCAAGCTCACAACATTCTCGCTCTTGAAAATATCCGCGACCGTGGATGTCCCGTTGACACTAGCGGCTGCGTTTCCGTTGCTACTCTCCTTGATGTTCCCTTTGTGAAGTCCACACTCTTTAGCCTTCGCATCTTCCCACCACCACCTCCCTTCTCTCTCGTGCTGTCCCGGCAAAACCGCTCTCGTGCACGGCTCACAACCTATGGAAACATACCCTGCAGCATGAAGCGTGTTGACGGGAACATCCATCGTCCTCAAGAAGTTCCAAACATCGTTCCCTTCGACGTTCGCAACAGGATTCCACTTCACCAAACTTCCAGCTCCACCATCTAATCCTTCAAACACCGGATCAACTTGAACAACAGGGATCTCTGATCTTGTTCCCGGTGATTGATCTTTCCTTTGACCAGTGATCCAAGCGCGTAAACCTTTCAAAGCACGCCTCAAAGGTCTCACCTTTCTGATACGGCAACACTCTTGGTGACCATCTTCGTAGAAAGAGAACAAACCCTTGTTCCTAACCAAAGCTTGAACCTCAACAGCATCCGGAAACATGTACTCGATTCTAATACCGTAGTGTTTCTCCACGGTGTCGAAGAGTCTGTATGTCTCTGGATTCAACCTCCCTGTGTCCAAACTGAAAACCCTAAAGGGTCTTCCAGTTAAATGAGCATACTCGATGAGAGCAACATCTTCTGCTCCACTGAAAAACCAAACAAAAACAACAAAACTTCCTTATTAGCAAAACCGTCAAAAACTGAAAAAAATTCATTCTTTGATCAGATTCTCATTATTGATTTCATTACCTAAAGGCGATTGCAATGTCATCTCCGAATTTCTCAAGAGCCTTGTCCATGATTTCAAGAGGAGAAGCATCCTCTAGACTCTTTGCTAGCTCCTCAAAGTCTTCTACTTCCACAACATCTAGCTTCTCTGTAACCTCTGTTTTGTAACAAAACCACAAAGATCATTAGCATAAACTTAACCGATGAAAGTTAACCAAGAGAAATTGAGAAAAATAACCAGAACTTACCAGAAGCCACCATGGATGCTGATTGAGAAACAATCGATTCCTTTGTAAGTGACTGAACATTAAGAGGTTTCACCGAGGATCGTTTCCCGGACATACTCAGAGACGCCGCAGAGACATTGATACGATCCGTCAATCTCAACGAACCGATTTGTGGAGCTGAAATTGAGGAATTAAAAATTCGAATTAGTTTTTCATCATCGATCGCTAAAAAAGTCGAATTTTGATCGAAGTTAACAAACAATACTCCAAATCAAACCCCAAACACAAAATGATCCATCAAGCCATTCCTAAGATTATTGAAATTGAGTTCTGATTTTGCTCGAGAAACCCGGATTTAAAAATGAGATTTTGATGCTAATATAACATTACCTTTAAGCTCTGAAGAAGGGAAGCTAGAGCTTGAGATCACAGAAGAAGATGAAGAAGAAACGTTGATCGCTAGTGCCATTTCAGACCACAACAAAATATTTCTCGAAGTTTTTTTTAGAGAATTTATGATCTGAGGTTAATTTGTTGGTTTGCTTTTGAGATCTGTCTGAGGAAATGTGAGGTTATAAAAGAAACAGGTGAAAACAGGTTCATTGAACCTGGACACCTTTTTTTTAGGTGGCGGCAATTTCTTTTTCTTCTATATCATTGCTTGCGTCACTTTGTTCGTGTGGTAGAGAAACCCTGGTCAACATTGGCCGAACAAATCTTTTCTCTATTAAGTAACACACTTGATAATACCAGAAAATATAAATAATTTAACTCGCTTAATGTTTTTCATGTTCTATTCATAGATTTTATTTTATTCTAGAAAACAAATATATTCTAGAAACTGGATTAAGATAAATAATATCATGACGTTAATATTTGAACATCTATTTTCGACTAACCTTTAGAACAATCGTTTAGAATATTGTTTGTTTTAAGAACCTTTTTTGCTAATAGAGTCAACGATGTTTCTCGTTCTGTTAACGTCAAAATCGAGAAGGTAAAAAAAACAGGTGACCTGATGAGAACCTGAACATTGGAGAATGAAAGTGACGTAAATACTTAATAATATTCATCAATATTAACAAAAATTCCCTCAAAAATGTGTATATATCTGCTGCCAAAAGAAAAAAATGTGTATATATATTTAAGAGTAACTCTAAATAGCGTATGATCTTATATGAGATTTTTTTTGGCTACATTACGATTAGTGTGAGCTTCTTCTATCAAATAAATTCGATCCTAACCTCAACAACGATTTGGTTTCAGTTAAAAAAAAATCAAAGACAACAAAAGAAACGAAAAAAACATCACACAAAAGCATTTTCCTCCATCTATCGAAATATCAAATCACGATCACACGACCGTATTATTATTACTACTCATCAGATTCTCTTTTGTTTCACAGACAAAAAGTCTCTTCAAAAATCACTTGTCTTCTTTAGCTTTCTCTTCTTCCTTCATCTTCTTCTCCCACCTTCTCTTCTTGTAATCAAGCAGCATCTGAGGCATCTTCAGCATCAGCTTCGCCGTGTTCTCCCTCTTCTCCGCCGAGATTCTATCGCACTTGTGCCCTTTCCTCTTCGTCCTCATCGCTTTCCTCTCCGGATCGTAAGGCCAATCCTCTCCAGAGGTCAGAACTTCTTTCCTCAGCATCGCTCTCCTGCGAGCGCTTATCCCCAGCGGTTTCCACGCTCCCATCTCCCAATAACCCCACACGCCTTTCGTCAGCTCGGTTCTGTACTTATCGAGTTTCGCCCTCCATGGATGTTGAAACGCCGTCGCAGTCTTTGCCAACGCTTCTGCAGCTTTCCCCGCCATAGCTTTCTGTAGTGTTTGAGAAGATAATGACTACCCAGAACACACAATTCTTAAAAGAAAAGATGATATCACAGATGCAGCAGCTCAAAACTATCCTATGAAACTTACAGAATCAGTGGTGAATGTAAATGTAATCCAATAGCTCAATTTAGCTTCTGAAACTTAGTTAAGAAAACCTCAAAGCTTATACATTTCGTGATAAAATGATGATGCAGTGAAGCAAAGAACGAACTTTGAAGCCATAGAGAGATGTGTGGGATGATGAAGAACATCACAGGTAAGTGTGAAACTGAAACAGCATTTCTTACAAGCTAAGCGCAGACTGATTGAAATGTTGTTAATAGAACAATCTATGGAGAGTATAATCTTTGATTACTAAAGCAGAAATGTGATTCAAAATTGGATTCATCGCTAACAGAGCCACCGAAATTAGAGATTTGATTCCGGTAAACTGGGTTCCGTTACCTAAACACACCACAGTCGATTTTCGATTCCCAAATCTAATGACTATAGGATCAAATCATCCAGACTAATCTAGGTGAAGATTCTGCAATAGAAATGGAAGAGCTAGATTTAGCTCGTCTCTTTCGCTTAATTTTCTTACTGATGCGATCTACTTTGAGATCGACACGAGATTTCGAAACTTACAATGGAGAAGAAACCAACGCGAAGAAGATCGGAGAAGGTTGCTTGTGAGTCGTCAGAAAACAATCAATTGAGAGTGTGAGAACGCGGCGCAGATGAAGAACACAGCCAAGGGTTCGCGTTGGGTTTCGTAGCCCCTTTTTCCTTATTTTTTTTGTTTTTCCCAAATATTTTGTAATTTTTTTTACATTTTTCCCTTACGTCTATTTTAGTATTTTATACCAAATAATGTTTACCCAACTTAATTTTTCTTATAAAAAAAATTATGACACAATATTTTTTTATTCTTACAAATATATAGGTCTTCAGTTTATTATATTCTATGTTGCATAGAAACGGAAATAGATACGTGGAAGCGGAACGTTTTGAAATATGAAAACATCATTTTTAAAAAATATAGAAATTGAAACGTTTTAAAAACGTATATATATTATATTAAACATTAAAGATCAAATTATAGTATAAGTAGAATATTTAAATCAACAAAATCTAATATAGATTTTTTACATAATTATTAAACTATAAAAATTAAAATATGTAAAAGTCAAAAATTTGGAAGATTTTCTTTATTATCAATTTTATTAGTTTCATTAACCAAATTATCTATAATTCTAATTTATCGAGAGAATAATTTTTAAACTTAATAATATCAAAATTAATCTTAATTACCAAATCAAAATATTTATTAGTTTATATCTTCTTTCCAAAATGAAAACACGTTTTTTTTAAAATGGAAACGCGTTTCTTTCTAAATTAAAATTTTTAGAAAACATAATCTTTCATATTTCCGACGAATTTCTGAGAATTCAGCTTCCAAAACGTTTCGAAAGCATACGTAGTTTCTATGCAACTTAGATTATATCTAAGCTTTGAATACATCTTCTACTCATATAGGAGTATTATTTATTTTCATTTATAGTAACACAATAACACTCAAACTTTCTAGTTTTACTATGTTAAAAAAAAAAATCTAGTTTTACTACAATTTTTAGTTTTTACCGATTTTCAGCTACAGGTTCATAGTTAAATATTCTGATATTCTGATTGACATCTCAAATCATTTTTCGAATTTTGTATTTCTAGTTTTATAACTGGACAACTCAAACACGCCAAAAGTAAAATAGTTTAGTGAAAAGTTAAGATTCACATGCTTGAGACATCTTGATCTTGTGCATCCATGTGGTCTCTAAAATGAGACTTGACAAAACAAAAACAAAAAAACTCACACTACACATACACTGATATAACAATTAACAACTGTATCAATACAGACTTGACATATGTTTTTTTTTTTTTTTTTTTCAAAACTTTATTTAAACTTCCTTTTTAAACACTCATCACTATCGACATGTCCCAAAATCTATTGTGAATAAGTAAACGTTACATAGGAAAGTAATATTTTCGGACCAATCGAATAATTTTAACAGAATAAATCGTTAATTTTATTTTCCAATTAAAAGACCACCACTACTATAGTAAACCAATAAAATATATACTAAAATGGCCCGGGGTGGTCCTGAATGGCGTCAGAGTCTCTCATATCCTCCTATGCAACAAGCAATAAGATTGAGGTTGTCTGAACTCTGTTTCTATCCACACCTTCCCTTCATCGGGAATTCTCCATTTGTCCTATTCCTAGGACTTTTGTCTGCCTTTGTTTAAGACACCCACGGGTGTGTCCTTTGTTATTGAACTATGTTTCCTTCTTGATTCTCAATAAAGCAAGCAAGATTTAGCAAAAAAAAGAGAAATCTAAATGCTTTTGGATGTCCATTTAGTGTTAATCCGTATGGGTACTATAGCACTCATTTCATCCATAAACAATAATGGAAATTGCTCACCAACTTAATACTATTCATTATTCAACTACTTGCTTCACCTACTTAAAAGCCTTCTAATGCATGTGAGAAAATTAAACTAACACATGTTTTTTTTTGCTTTCTATTTATTTTGAAACAAGTACAACTAAACAATTGTATCGAATATTAAAGATATAAGTTTTGGAATTGGAAAACGGAATTGGTTTAGTAACATGCCCGGAAGATGGTTAGTTGTGAATTTCTGATCATAGGTGACGAAAAAAGAAGAAGAAGAAGATTATAGTTGCGCGACTGTGAATTTGTGATTAATATGTTTTTTTTTTTGAACTTTTGTGATTAATATGTTAGGCTTTGTAAAACCAGAAACACAAATAGAAATTGCTGACGCATAATACAAACTTTAACAATTTCTACAGCTTTTAAAATCGTTTGTGAATCATTTTCATATACTATTAGGGATGTTTCCGCGCTACGCGCAGATTATTTTTATAATTATTTAATAAATATTTAAATAATTTATTTTAATTTTAAATATAATATTTGATTTTCAATATTGTTTTGATGTGGATAAACATCAAAAAGATTTAAACGTATTCAAAAAATGGATTATGATTTAATTTAAAAAATTTACTAATTTGATATAAGTAAAAATTAATCGTTAATCTAAAACTTAATATCTTTATATAAACTCATTATTGTTCACCAAATTTTAAAATATTATAATAACTATTTTTGGTTGAATTATATTTGATATATAATTGAACTCAACAACTATAAGATTTTTTTTTATTTAATTTAGAAACAATTTTTTATTTTAAATAAAAATAAAATAACTTATCAAATATATTAGTACAACTAAAGCACATGATTATTGTGTTTGTATACTGTTTTTATTTCATTAGCATTCTCAAATACAAAACAACAATCAATATTCTAAACTTTTACAAATCCGTAAAAGAAATATTGTTCATATAAATAAAAACAATATTTACATAGTATACAAAATCATTATCATATTGATAAACTGTAATTTTGATTTGGTCTTTGAAGTATCTGTAAACTATAGAAGTGTAGATAAATATAGCAAGTAAAACATATACAATACAATTTCATACTAACTCATTCTTTTAAACAAACTATGTTGAGTTTTAAAAAACTCAAAAGGTTTAAAAGGTTTATTTGCATTTTGACTTGTAATTTAACTTATATTTTTTTTTACACTACACATAAATTTTGATGAGCTTTTATAATTAAATTAATAATATATATTATATGTTTTTAAAAGAGTTTCTTAACCAAAAAAAAATCATATTAGTTATCTTTACATGTTGAGTTAGTAAGGAAATTCTTTTTTGTTGATGTCGATGGCCAGAGATGTTTTTCTGACATTTTCTTTTACATAAAAATTTGTATGTTATATTTTAAATATAGAAATATTATATATTAATGTTTAAATGGAGTCATGGTAGTCTATTTTTCTGTAAATGTATTGTATATATTTTGTAATAAGTAATATATATTTATAAAATTTTAGAAGTTAATCGTTGTAGAGACAATAGACAATTTTGTATCCACGTATGTGAAATACAGTTGTGTTAATTTCAAAATTTTATTTATTTTTTTGTTATATATATAATCTTTATGTTTCTAAAAGATGAATGTTTTAGATTTTTCTAAATTATGAATGTTTAAATTTGTTTTTTAGAAATTACTATTTTGTAAACTTCTATCTATTAACTATTATTTAAGTTTATTTGGAGCAATTTTTTTTCCAAAATACTCATTATATTAGAAAGAAAATAGTATATATATATTAATATTATAGATTTAAATAATATTTATTTTACTGATTCAAAAATGATATTTTAATTTTTTTTTAGTTTTTGTTAATAACTATATTAGTTTTAGTGGTTCTATTTATTTATTCTATGTATATTTTAAAAAAATCTAAAATGAGTTTTTTATTGATACTTTCTTGCTGATGTGGCAAAATGAAAGAGTTATTTTAAAAATCTGACGTAGATGGCTTGAGGAGCCCCAAACAACTGCTTTCATTTAATATAGATACTACAACATGAGATCGTGCGAGTCTATATAAACTTCAAATTGCATAAAGCTTGTATAGGCGTTTTCAGTCATGATCCGAGATTTGGTATGGTCCTGAGTTCGGTGGATGTAGGGACTGTCTATTTCGATATAGTGACAGGAAACAGTACTTATGAGCCAGAGTGAGTAATTCATGTATAGAAAGTATTATCCACATTATATCCAATAAAGTATGGGAGGAGGAAAATTACATATTAAATCGGCTTTGAAAATTTTAATAGCTAAAATCATTATCCAAACTCTTTTTTATTTGAGTGAAATTTTAGTTTAAATATATATATATATATATATATACTAGGTGGTTGGTCCGCACATATGTGTTGGTATAATTTGTTTGATATACATAATTAATTGTAATATCTAAGTGTTAATTAGTTTTTCAAACATTAGTATGTTTGTATATATATATTATTTTAATATTTTACAAAC